GACGCCACATCGTCATCATCGGAGGGGAACATCCTCAAATGAAATTTGTTTCGTCTTCGAGCATGTAATAATTTATATCAGGATGAACTTGTCACCTCCCCCCCCCCCCCCCCCCTGCCAACAAGGCAGGCGCACACGCATACGCATGCACACGCACATACATGGAAATGAACTGTTATTTTTCTAAATGGCGACAGAGGGACCCAAGGGAACAGACCCAAACTGTAGCCAGTAAAAAGCTCAAGCTATGGGAAGAACTAGGGGCCCCCACTGTGAAGGGGCAAAACGGATGATCACGATCTGTTTCGTGTCTCGTTTTGGTCAATTCTGATTTCCAAATATATGAGAAGCCTGTGTGCCCACTGTCCTAGCCATGGGAGTATACTCTGTCGGCTATATAGTGTTATACAGTGCCAGAAGTGCCAGAAATTCTACACTAGGGGTAGCCAAGTATCGCATATGAACATAACCCAGTTATAAACAGATTTATAATCATATTCTGGTCCCTATACCCGGCACACATGTCCTGTAGCTCTCATTAGCCCATCAGAAATTCATTGTAAGCCACCACTCATACCCCTTGCATTCCATCAGTATAGGGACAGTCTTTGATCACTATTGACCGCGAGAGGCGAAGACATGGAGGCAACACCAGAGACTTATTTCATTGTCGAACCCAAACCGGATCGCACATACCCTGGCAGTCACATGGCAATCATCATTATCGTCATCGTCATCAGGCAGGCATGATAATGATAACAATAACAAACGAGCGCAGCGACAATGCCTGTCCGGAGAAGGGGCCAGGACCAGGGGCAGGAGAGGCAGAGGCAGAGGCAGAGGGAGTGAGAGAATGGGTGGTGTGGAAAGATATAAAGATTGTTGCCATATTGCTATCATTTGCACACAATCAGCGGCGGCCTCGGCGACAGCGTCAGCGTGAAAGGGATGCGAAACGCGGCAGCAGAAGGAGGAGGAGCAGAGGCAAGATATGGAGAAAAAGTGGCAAAAGAAAGCGGCAAATAGGAAAGGCAAAAGGACGGGGGAGTAATGTATGCATGGGGCTCGAACCTACCTCTTCGCACTCCCTTTCCCCACCCTTCCAGGAAATCAAACAGGATGAGAGCGCGGATGACGCGGAGATTGCTCGTCATCGTCATCGTACCCGTTCCCCGTCTCCGTCACGGCTGTTGATTTTTCCCAAAGACTAGATAAAGTATAAATAAATTTCAATAAATGGCGTAAAATCAAATTTCCCATCAGAAGAAATAGAAATATGCCCCGATTTTGGGCGACAATTTCCATGTGGTTGGACAGAATAATACTCTGATTAAGTGGAGCATGGTCTAAGGATTGGCAGAGTAGTTTCACCTCTCCCGAGGCCCAAAACTTGTTTAAATCTGATGGCATGTCAATGGGGACATTGTTTGTCCAATCAGCACTTTCGGATGAGCGGAATATTCAATATTTGCGAATAAGCTCTACGTACTACGTACAAAGAATATTCCGAGTATCAAAATATTCGTATATGTCTATTTTGTGATTTATACATTCACGGAATGGCAATGATGTGTTGAACAATCTACTTGAATGGAAACCCCCATCGTTTCCGTAGATTGTTTTGCCGAATATCTGCACAATTAATGGACTAATGGACTCTCAGCTCTGACCAATAATATTTACTCTATTCTCTGCGTTGCAAGCATCTGTTTCAGATCGTTATACCCTCTGACAGCGGAGAGAGCCGCACAGAGAATAGATTTGATCGACTTTCTCCTCCACCAGCCACCGTTTAGTGCCTTCTCCGTTCCGACATTTGCCTGTGCCTGTGCCCGTGCCCGTGTACCCGTACCCGTACCCGGACTCGTAATTGCCTATTAGTTTCCATTTGTTGATTTTGCTGCGCTCTGACGTGACGTCGACTGACTTTGGCTTTTGGCTTTTGGCTTTTGGCTCTGGTTTCTTGTATCGATTCGACATTTGCTGTCCCTGGCCTCTGGGGTTAATGGTCACAGTGTCGCCGTCGGATCAATGATGGATATTTGTGGCCGGGCCGCATCGATGGTCTGCCTGACATTTGCGGGGTCTGTGTGCCAGAGGAAACCTCCATCAGCCAGTTAAACAAGAGCAACCATTACACGAGCAAAGATCAGTTTATTGACCAACAAATATTCAAGGTTTTTCGTGTTCAAACCAAAAGCAGCATCTTGGTTCTATAAGTCCACAGTTTCCGGGCGCTGCTGCTACTCCGGCTGCTGCTCCCCTGCCTGCTGTCCATCCGGCTGCTGTCGCTCCGGCTGCTGTCCCTCCGGCTGCTGTCCCTCGGACTGTTGCTCCCCTGCCTGCTGTCTCTCCGGCTGCTGTCCCCCGGACTGTTCCTCCGGCTGCTGTCCCTCCGGCTGCTGTCTCTCCGGCTGCTGTCCCTCCGGCTGCTGTCTCTCCGGCTGCTGTCCCTCGGACTGCTGTCCCTCGGACTGCTGCTCCCCTGCCTGCTGTCCCTCCGGCTGTTGTCTCTCCGGCTGCTGTCCCTCCGGCTGCTGTCCCTCCGGCTGCAGTCCCTCCGGCTGCTGTCTCTCCGGCTGCTGTCTCTCCGGCTGCTGTCTCTCCGGCTGCTGTCCCTCGGACTGCTGTCCCTCGGACTGCTGCTCCCCTGCCTGCTGTCCCTCCGGCTGTTGTCTCTCCGGCTGCTGTCCCTCCGGCTGCTGTCCCTCCGGCTGCAGTCCCTCCGGCTGCTGTCTCTCCGGCTGCTGTCCCTCGGACTGCTGTCCCTCGGACTGCTGCTCCCCTGCCTGCTGTCCCTCCGGCTGTTGTCTCTCCGGCTGCTGTCCCTCCGGCTGCTGTCCCTCCGGCTGCAGTCCCTCCGGCTGCTGTCTCTCCGGCTGCTGTCCCTCGGACTGCTGTCCCTCGGACTGCTGCTCCCCTGCCTGCTGTCCCTCCGGCTGCTGTCTCTCCGGATGCTGTCCCTCCGGGTACTGTCCCTCCGGCTGCTGTCCCTCCGGCTGCTGTCTCTCCGGCTGCTGTCCCGGTATACGCGGTATTGGCGGTCGCGTAAAAAATGCCTTTGCCAAGCGTATTATGAATTTGATAAGGAAGTACAGCACCACGATATGGGATGCATTGTCCATCAAAAATTGCACAAAGCTGAGCACCATCGCCGTGACGATGCCAACCCTCTTCACGTAGAATTCATGTCTGTATTCTGGATAATTCGGCTCAGCCCGGCGGAAATATTTGCAAATCTTCTGCCACATGGTTGGCTCCGGTTCCAGCTTAGCGTTAAGGAGTTCGCGTAGTTTTTCTAACATTTTGAAAGTTTCGAACAAAATTGTTCACAAAATAAATATCAAAAATGGTTAAAGAATATTTCTTTTCGATTCCGGATATATAACTATTTTGTGGCAGCTCCTTAAAGGGTAGCTTGAACGAAAACGAATTTCCCCATCAATAATCCCCGACATAGCAGGCTGGTATTCCGTATTTTGAGAGGTATGTTTTGATCCATAGCCATAGTACCAGGCCCCCCCCATTCAGTACTTATTATTATTATTTTCATTGCGTTCAAGTGCTTTTCTCTTTGTTTGCCGCGCGTTTTGGGGGTTCGTTCAACCTGGCGTCCGGCGGCAAATATTTCACAGTGAAATTTTGCATGATTGTCAGGCATCTGCCGTTTGCCACAGGCCGCAGGCCGCAGACGGCATGTGAATTGTTTTGATGAATGAAGTGCATCCGATTGGGGGCAGCTAAATGTGGCACCCATCATCAGCCGTTGCTCAAATTGATTGAAAAGTCATCAGAAAACTTTCTGCCAAAGCCAGCCTAAAATCGGGCAAGGCCCCCCCCCCCCCACAGAGGAACAGCAATTGCTAGAAAATATTCAGTTTTCATTTTCATTTCTCTCTTGATGTCTGCCTTTTGTCTGTTGTTGCATATCATTATTGCTTGTTGTTTCTTGGCCCGGTTCTTGGTGTTGGCCGGCGGCAACTGATTAATTGGCTCGCCTCTCATCTGTCTAACACCCATCACCCCCAGCCACAGCCACAGCCCCAGCCACAGCCCCAGCCACAGCCACAGCCACAGCCCCGGCCGCATTCCGTTCTGACCCTGCCCCACATTCTGAGTGTCTACTTCGAGGCATTCATTATGCCTCGCATCGCATCGCATCGCCTCGCCTCGCCATTTCGTTCAATAATTGTGATGCTCTCGATTCTGAATTCTGAATTCTGTGAATTTTAATCGTGCTAAAAATAGTGGCAGAACATGTTTAAAATTTTCTTAATTATTTGCTGTAAGTACAATACCGAATGGGTATTGCGAATTGCCGCAATCGCTTTCGATTTTAATTACAATTTAATATTAACAATTATCCACAAGACATTTTTCCTTCAAAATACGATTTTCTTCAAATATTTAGAGTCATTTATATTATTATTGAATGAATTCATATTTTTATTGTAGATGTTTCATTGTATTCCACATTACCCCTTGTATTGCCCGTGTAATTGATACCTATCGAATATCGAAACTCGGTATCGGTATCGGTATCGGTGGGGGTCTCGCTGGTATCCAGGCATCGGCCGCTGTTGTTTTCTTGTTGCTTTGTGACTGGGAAATATATTTCCAATTAAATCAATATAAATTTGGTGTTATTTGTTTATTTTTGAAATCGAAGGCTAGAGATTATGGCCAGACCTCTATGCGGGTTTAGAATATATCGTAAGAGGCGTGTTCTTGACTCGAATCCATACTCCTTTTCATTGAAATCGAACAGCATTCGTTTGTGAATTGTTCAAAAGTGTTATCCACCCCTTACCCGCCCCTTATACACCCCTTATCCACCCCTTATCCGCCCCTAATCCGCCTCTTAATAATTAGAATAACACCTCTTTCAATTTCCTTTGGCTTACGAATTTTATTCAACTCTCTTAGTGGAAAACTACTAACTAGGCTTACAAGCTATCACAATGTTGGCTTTCTTTCTCTGTGTCTCCGCTGGCCGCTCCTCAGATGCGCACAAACCGCTCGCCACGCTGCGAAAAGTGGAATCCGCCGTAGTACTCCTCCAGGTCGCGCAGCTCCCTCTCCAGCTGGGCCTCCAGGCGGGCGCGGGCCTGGTCTTGGGCCTGGGCCTGGGTCCGGTGCCGAGTGGAGGCGGGCCGGCGGAGCGGAGTGCGCAGGCTGAGGCGGCGGCGCACCTTGAGGTCGCCCACGTAGTCGTACAGGGGGCAGTGGAGCGAGGACAGCGGCTCCTCGGGCACCAGGCAGCGGCTGGGGTCCGTGTGCGAGGGGAAGCCCCGGGGCGTGGTCTGGCCGGAGAGGGTCTCGCTGGTGTTGTGCTGCTGCTGATCCTGCTCGAACATGCACTTCCACTGGGCGTAATGCAGATCGGCGGTGGATATAGCCCTGGAGCCGGTGGTGGGGCAACGCTTGGTGGGCGTCAGCAGGGTGCCGCAGGAGCCAAAGGAGGAGCATCTGGGCATTGGTCGCAGCAGGGCCCGTCGCTTGGCCACGCTCTTTTGCTTCTTCTTCGGCTTGTTCTGGGCCGGACCCAGGTGGCGCCGCAGCATCCGCAGGATGGTGGAGAGTCGTGGCGGCCGTGGCACCACGCAGCAGATCCCGTCGGATGCCCGACTGGTAGTGTCCTCGGAGTCCTTCTTGGAGTGTGTGCTGCCCATGATGCTTGCTTCGGTTCTCTCTGGCAACTGATGCCGACTGTCCCCGGTCGTGGTGCTTATATATCCCTCCTCTGGTACCTGGATCCAGGCCTGAGGGATACCTGCCTATAGGGACCCGATCCGGAGTCTTATTGCTACCTTCATAAAAACCCCGCCTGACCATAATCCCCTTGTTTTTGCATCGTTTTATGAGTGGCAACATTTGGCGGGGATTTGGATTTGTTTTTCGGCCGCGACTCCCTTTTTATGGCCATCAGGTTGAGGTTGCACGTGCAACCAAAATTAAAGCCTGCCCGCAGCCTGGCCGTCTAATGGTCTGTCATTTGCTGGCGCCTGCTGGCACCCTCTCTACATGCACCACATGGACGCGTCTGGTAATTGCTAGAAGAGACACGGGATGACGGGCGGCAGGCCACTTAAGTCGTGGGGAAAGCTGCTGCTGCTGCTGGGGGAGGGAGGGGGTGGTGTGGGGAAATTGTTAATGAATTGCAGTGGCAGCCATTACGGACAGGGATCAGGGACGAGCCATGAGCCCCATACAGAGTGCCACACAGAGAGAGAGAGAGAGCGAGTGGCATGTGGGTGGCAGCCATTGGGGGAGGGGGAGGGGGAGGGGGAGTCCTGCAGATTGCTTGCTTTGTGTGTCAATCAGGCAGCATTGGACGTGGCTTTTTCATGTCAGCAATGCCCTCATCAATATTATTCCCATTGCTCTCGCTCTCGCTCTCGCTCTCCCTTTCTCTGTCTTTGTCTCTGTCTCTGTCTCTGTCTCTGCCTCTGTGTTTGTGTCTTTCTCTGTATGTTCTCTGTAAGTGTGTGTGTGTGTGTGTAAGCGGCTTTCCTTGCCCCTCCTTAAGGCCACACACTCTACCACAGTGGACACGCAGCTCCGATCCGATGCAACGTACACTAGGAGCTGCCCTTAAACGGACACACAGCTCCCCTTTGTGCCCATTAATTAGATTTGCTATTGCCACACACCCTCGGTGTGGCAGCAACTTTGAATGCATTCCCTAATTGCGTTTAAATGGAAACAACACTCTTTTTCTCTCACTTTAATGACCCCGAAACCCACACCGACATCTACTATTTTTGCCACACCCTCTGCCGCCGCCCCCCGCCCCCTCCCTGGAGCAGGAAGCAGGATGTGCGGCCTGCGGTCTGCAGTGTCCGGTGCAGTGCGGAAGGGCGAAAAAAGAAAAAACAAAGCCAAAAATTCATTTGCAAATTCCAAAAGAGGATTTTTGTGCAGAGCCAACTGTGATGTACCCTATAGGGCGTTCTAGTTGGAATGTCCAAGGAGCGGCTACACTGATTGGATGGCAAATACCAGCCGTGTATGGCAATGGGACTTCGCTCTACCTCGGAGGGGCAACCTATCTGTAGCCCAGAGCCGTATACCCCCCCATGGAGGGTAGGAGTTTCCCCACACAGAAGGGGCAGAAACTGGAGGCAGGGGCAGAGGCCGAGGCAGAGGCAGGGGCAGAGGCCGAGGAGGCAGAGATCGTTGTCAGTGGCAGGAAGGGTTCTACGAAGGTCGCAGGGGGCGGCGAGAACCCTGCATAGTTGGGGGGGAGTGGCAGAAACCATTTATCAGGCTGTGGGCATAGCGCACCTCTGGCCGGGTCGCCCGAAAGTATGCTTAGGGAAAACCATGTGAGTGCGGCATCCCTGAAGGGAAGGCAGGGACCTCCTCCTCCTTTTCCTTTTCCTATTTGTGCACTCGCCTTTAATCGAGTTTGTTCTACGGTTTATTTGATGGAAAAAAACTAAATGAATGATTGCATAATTATTGCATCAGATAGATACGTACATTTGTATCTGCATCTGCGTTTGTATCTGTGGGCTGTGGCTTGCATTTGCTCTTTAAATATTTGATGGGTATGCACGACTGCTGTTACCAAAATTGATTGCGATTTGCATTTTTCCCGTCGGGGTTTTCAATTAAATTTTCCCATTCCTGCGACTCCTACCTGGGGAATAAATGGAAAAATGCGCAAGGCGAGTGGCGAGAGGCGAGAGGGCGCCTTTATGACCTGGCCAACATGTTGGCGTGTCATAAAACGCAACCAAAACAAATAAAAATGGACAAAAAAAAAAACATCGTCGTTTTTTACTGTTATTCTAACCCTTTACTTCTGTTGAAAATGCATCTGCAACCCTTTTGCCCTATGCAAATCGAATTCCCTCTCCTGCTCTCCTGCTCCTCTCTCCCTCTGTGCATCTGTGTGCCTCTGTGTGGGTGTAAAGGTGTCAACGAATTCCCTAGAGACAAGAGATGGCAGCGAGTGGGGGCTGTCCAGAAAAAGTTCGTCCTCCCAAACGAAGATAAAAGAGCCAAACAGTTTTGTACAGATGGTTGGTTCTCTTGTGTATCGAATGCCACTCGTGTTTTATGGGGCCGTCACTGAGACAGAACTTCAAGGCCAGAGCCGGTCTTCAGTTTTCTGGCAATTGAGATACCGGTCTCTGGATCTGGATAATCAGATCTATCCACCCTTTCTCCATTCCCAATGATAATCGTTTCTGTGTCCTCCATTTGTGCAATCCTCTGGCATGTCCTGCTTCTAGCTGGAGCTCCTTAGTAGGGCACATAATCAATCTCTGCCCCAGCGGATTACAAAGTTAATACAAAGTCAAGTGTAAGCCAAAGTTGATAACACTGATACGAGTCTGTATGTATGTATGGGTGTATCCACACCCATTCGCACCCATTCGCACCCATTCGGACATTCGCTGGTGGCCTTTTGATTTAGTTCGGTTTAATTTAGTGGCACGAAAGAAAAGCCATTTGCGGATGGCCGCAAATCTGCAGGCCCCCCAGGGGTATGGGGGTATGGAGGGGGGGGGTCGACTTAGGATAAGGGCAAGGACAACAGCTTGCGTGTGTGTATGTGTGTGTGTTAAGGCAGGGTTAAGGACAAATCACGCATCAATAGCAATCAATCAATTTGTGGGCAAGCAAACAAATTGACCAAAAAAACCGAAATTGAAGCCACTGACAAAAGTTAACAGCATCTAATGTGATTTTGACACACACACGAAAGAGAGAGAGAGAGAGAGAGAGAGAGAGTGAGGGGGGGGGGGGGGGGGGGGGGGGGGGGGGAGCAGGAGATGGGAGCCAGTCCTTGGTTTACAATTTGTGCGTCTGCTTCACTCCCTTCCATCCATCCATCCATCCATCCATTCGCTCGCCAAAACTCTTTCTGTGTCCTGGTACCCTGTAATTGTTTTGCCAGAAACGGGAGAGCATCAACTTTTTATGGAATTCTTCGAGAGAGCAGTTTTGTTCATAGAAATACACAGACCCTGAGTTCATGGGGTATCCTGATGTCCCGGCACGTGTGCCTTGACTGCTTGGCAGCACTCTGCAGTACGTATTCTAGCCAGCAGAGGGACAACTGTACACAGCTCAAGTGACAAGGAAATATAGGAGCAATACGGAAATTTCAATCATATCTCGACTGTTTCCCAAATACACAGATAGATGGAAACTAATTCCCATATATAACATCATTTTTTATTGGAAGAACAACAAAACGGTTTTCGGGGCCTACGATTCAAGCGCCAATTCCAGCGAATATTTGAATGTGACTGATTTTTAAAATGCCTTTGATTTGGCTCAAAAAGGATTGATGCTTTTGGTTATTTTAATATTGAGGGACCATTGACTATGGGGAAATGTGCTGTTCTTTTTTTCAACTAGCAATAACCGCATCTCCGTAGAACTTCATCGGTTGCGGTATTTCTTAGTTATAGAATAAAATGTGGAACTAAATACATGAAAAATGAACGAAAAAATTGAGTTTTTTTCGTGAGCTTGGGGTTTTTTTTAAGATTTTCCCAATATATTGTACATGCTGGACAATTGTATCGTAATTAAAGATGTTTACGACTATTTTGTATTTCGTCTGGATTGCTGGGCATTTCCGCAGTCGCAACGGAGCCTCGGACCATCGGAGCCATGGGAAAGCATGGGAAAGCATGCTTTTCATAATTGCGTTTGATTAAGCGTCAAGCGAAAAAGGAAAATGTTTTTTGTTTGCCGAACTTGGTTTTCAATTTCGTTGTTGATGGAGGGGAGGGCCTGCCAGCTCCAATCAATGGAACTATCCATCAGAAGTGTGTGGAGCCAGCAGCCGGAGGGAGCTTTTCCTGTTTGCCCGCATCGGATTCCACACATGAGGACACGCAATAAATAAGCAAAGGAGGCTGGGCAGGGCAGGGCAGGGCAGGGCAGGGCAGGGCAGGGCAGAGAGGAGGACGATCCCATAAATTCATCAGCGTCTCTAAATGGCTTAAATGTGGCTTAGAGAAACGGTACAGGGCTAGAGGGCTACAGGGCCACAGGGCCACAGGGCTGCTGGGCTAAAACGGAGTGCGTGGAGCAGCTGCAGCATTAAAACCGCAAGATGGCCTAATCCCGCCGCTTCGTGGATTTACAAGCTTAACCACGCCTACCGCACGCTCTGCCGCCGAGTCGAGAGAGAGAGAGAGAGAGAGTCTCCCTCTTTCGGTGCCCCTTTCGCTCCATGGAATCCGTTAATCTGCGGCCATGATCCCCGGCCCAATCCTTAATCTTCGGCCAGATTTCACACCGCAAAGCACGCGACTTGCCAGATTCCGAGACAGAGCAGGATGGAGAAATGATTAGAGAAATCTCCCTCTCTCTCTCTATCCCTCTCTCTGGCACGGCTCTGGTCCTTGGTCCTTGGTCCTTGGTCCAGCACACGCAACGTCGAGCAATCCTCAATTGTGGCAGATTGTAATTAGAGCGGATCACGGTACAGGCGGCACGATTCGGCATTTCGAGGGGCTTACGGCCGTAAGCGGTGCGGGATTTGTGTGCTGCTCCTGCTCCTGCGCCCGGTCCTGCGCCTGCTCTTGTTGTTCCAGTTTCCAGGACGAGCACAAAGGATGAGGCACTCGAGCCAGCACTTGAGATTCGCCCTCCCGCCCTTTGTTTTCAAGACTCACTCTTTGTTTGCTGTGCTGTGCCATGTCCTGCCCTGGTCTGCCCCCTCGGGGCCGGGAGGAAGTGTCGTGTCGCTCTGGAGTCAGCCAAACACTTCGGGCTGTCAAACGGCAGCAAAGTCCCTTGCCCTTGCCCTTGCCCATCGGATCTGTTGTTTGAGCCAGGTGCCGGTGGCTGGCTGGCTGCCTGCCGGAATTATGCATTTTGCCCGAATAGTTTGTCACTTTAAAGTTTGGTCTCCAAAGGGGCACCTGCATATTTCATGGAGGTCGGGGGCTAAATGCCAAGACCAGACCAGCGCCAAAGCCATTCCACGAGGGATTTAATGAGCGGAAAAGCTGCCCTGAAATGAAAGAAATCCTTTTTCCTAAGGGCAGGAAACACCCAATCATCGCTGTTTTCCTTATTTTCCTTCACTCTTTTCCACTTCTTTGGCCACAAAGCTATGGCGCTTTCCTTCTCGACCAATTCTTCTCGGCGGAAGAAAGAAGTAGAAGAGGCACAGAATGAATGGGAGTGAGCAGCAAGAGAGTAGAAAGAGGAGAGCATGAGTATAAGGCATGAGAAGCGTAAGAATTACTTTACAAATTTTCATATTTCTATTTAATTTAATTTAATTTAATTTTTATTTATTATATTATATTAGTTATAATATTATATTATATATTATTTAATTATATTATTTTTCCTATTTTTATTTTTGTGGCCCCTTCTCTTCAGAATCTCGACTTCCGTGTCAGCTTTCTCTTCCCAATAGTCCTTGCTTTCATGGGTAAGCTCCTTGCCTTTGTACTGTATCCTATTTGCCATTATTCTCCATATTTTTTGATGGCACCCATGCCTGCCTTGGAAAAACCGAAATTACAATTTCAATTTTCAGCCAAAAGAATCCCTGAGAGAGGGTCTCCCTTGGCAGTTTCATTCATGCATTAAATCCATATAAAATAGCTGCACACTTTACTATTTATGAAGGAAAAGGGGGCAGCCCCATAAGGGCCCTCAATGCCCAAGAGAAAAGCCTCCCCAGGCTTTTCCCTGGCTCGTCTTTGGCTCTCCAGTGGCTCCCCCTGGCTGCTTTCCCGCTCTCCACTGGCTCTTCTCTAGCCCTCCTCTGGCCCTCCACTGGCTCTTCTCTGGCTCTTCTCTGGCTCTTCTCTAGCCCTCCTCTGGCCCTCCTCTGGCCCTCCTCTGGCCCTCCTCTGGCCCTCCCCTGGCCCTCCTCTGGCCCTCCTCTGGCCCTCCACTGGCTCTTCTCTGGCTCTTCTCTGGCTCTTCTCTGGCTCTCCTCTGGCCCTCCTCTGGCCCTCCTCTGGCCCTCCTCTGGCTCTTCTCTGGCTCTCCTCTGGCCCTCCCCTGGCCCTCCCCTGGCCCTCCTCTGGCCCTCCTCTGGCTCTTCTCTGGCCCTCCCTTGGCACTCCCCTGCCTCTCCACTGGCTCTTCTCTTCGGGTTCTTTATGGCCAACGGGACGGAGCGGCACACAAAATGAAGAAACTTAATAATTCTATATAATTTTGATGTGTGTGTGTACCCACCCCAAGCCCACTCTCTCTCCCCCCCCCCACACACACACACACACACACACACACACACGGACAGCGCGAAAAGTTGAAGTGAAAATTGAGCACATTAAATTACAAAATTCTCGCACTCTCGCGCCATGAGGCAGCAGCAACTGTAACTTCTCACAAGCATACCCCTACGCCCCACGCCCCTGCCCCCCCCCCCCCCCACTCCATTTTGCACCTCAACAGTGCTCGTGCGGTGACCCGACCTACACTTTTCACTTTTCATTTGTTGTCCCTGTCCCTGTCCCTGTCCCTGCCCTCGAATGAGAGAAAAACTTTTGCAATAATCAAGTCCGGAAAGGAACACCTGCCCTGGGTCCCTGATTGGAATGCAGCTCTTGGTGGCGGCAATTAGGACTTCTAGGACCACCCTACTCGTTGCCCCCCCCCACTCCATCCGAGTGGCCCTGCACTTGGGGTCCGCCGCAAGACCGAAATTATAGCCCCAGGGTTCACGTCCAAGTCCCACGTCCACGTCCACGTCTCCGTCCCCGTCATTGGTGGATTGAACGATTGAGGGCCGCTGCCACCAATTATGGCAGTTCGCTCTCTGATGCAAGTCCCCCCCCTCCCCCCCTTCCAACCACTCTGCTGGGAATATCAATTGAATGGAAAAAGGCAGTCCCAAAGCAGCTTGTCAGAACAAAAATCGTGAAGGAAAAGGCTAAGGTATCAGGTGAAGGTTTCCGGTGGTAAATAATGAGCGCCAGAGGGTGGAGTGGGCGGCGCAGGCAGGGAATAATGGTCACTAAAGACTAAAGACTGCACAAATCAATACTATGCACAGATATCCTGGAAAAAAAAAACAAATTGGGAATATGGTGGAATATTTTGGGCTCTTTCGTTGCCATTGAATTTTGTCGAGGGGAAGCACCCCTTCAATGGAGATTAGTGCAGAATTCAGGGAATAAATAAGGAACCCAATCTGGCAGAGCCTGGATCAAGTCTTGTGCCTCAGGGATCGTGTGGATCCATCCGCAAAAAAAATAAATCAATATGTCTTTCGGGTACTCCCCATTCGAGGCACTTTTCGGTGTTTTTTTCGGTGTTTTTTTTCTCGGTTTTTGTTTGTTTCCTGTATGCAAACACTCGGACTCGTACACGGCCGTTGCCGCGGGCAGCCGTAGTCCATAATCGTTTTATTTGGTCCGGGGCCATATCTCTGGCTTCGATTTATTTGTCCATTTCGGTTTCGATTGGCTTTGGTTCGTTTGCATTAATTATTGCGGCTCCGGCAGCATTTATTTAGAAAACAATTTCATTTTATCCGCCTTACCCGCTTTTACCGCCATAATCCCTGGGGTTTGGTCGCGGTCTCCCCCCTCTCTATCTGCGAGGGAATTATGAAATGCCAATTAAGCCATTTTGTGGCTGGCAATCAGCTAATTAGTTGGCTTAAAAACGAGCGAATGTCCAGCAAAACTATTCCCTCACAAACGTAAATCCCCATCAGAAACAGACCATTCTGTAAGCAGTTCTAACTTGTATAATCCTGTAATGCAGGCTTTTAAAGACTAGTCAAATTTGTGGAATCTCCTCGAACCATTCCCTGTTCATCTTTAGTTTTTCATCCAATTTTGTTCTGGCACTGACTAGAGGTAGATCTGCAAACTATTTATATCGGATCACGCACTGGAATATTAGTTAGCGAGGGGGAATTCTGGCTCCCCTCCGACAGAGGCTGCACACATTGCACGACGAAGAGTGCGTGTGAGAGAGAGAGAGACAGAAAGTGGAGGGCGTTGCGTAGCCCCTGGTAATAGATTTGTTCCTGATTCGGCAATGTCCTACATAAGGTCGTTCTCCATGATTCTGGTTGCTCTAGCTCTTCTAGTCTCTGATACGGAAATGGCTAATGAATGGCTATATTCTTTAAGTGGTCGGAAATGCTTCCTCTAAATCTAATATATCCCTATACTCTTTTACAGTATAGGGTATTTATTGTAAAGTAGGTCCAATCTTAGGAACTAGATATTCAGTGTTTCTATGGTCTTTGTCAGGGCTTGTCCCTCTTGAATTCTCACTCTCTGATTTGTTCCTGCCTAAACCCCTTCACGGGTCTTGCCCTTCAGTGTCTCCTGGGACTGCCCTCCTTCTGCCTCTCCAGCAATTAGTAAAATGTAAAAGTCTTTTCGTTTGTTTGAATTCATAATTATATTTGCATTATCCAATTGTTTACAAGTCGTTGGATTGTCTCTCATTTATGATAAAATTAATCTAGACAAAAAATATACGTGTATATACATGGATCGAGGCAATCCGTTTATAATTAGCATTGCTGGGCAATGGGAATGGGTGGTGGGGGGGGGGGGGGGGGATTGCCTGTTTGCCCAACTGTTTGACAGCTGGCACACCTGTTGCCAGTCGTTTGGGGGCCAACCGGAGACGGCTCCGTGCCAGGCGGAGCTGTGCGATAGCCCAACCTACAGGTCCGTGGTGATGGTGTGCGTATGCCCTGCCAGCAGCTGTGAGGTGGTGTAGAGGGGCTCCTCTTCCGGGTCGATGGCCATCTGCTCCTCTATTTGCACGTCCACCTTGAAACGCTTGGCCGCACTCTCCATGTCCTCTAGATCGCTAAAGGCCGGAAAGGTGGTGGGGCAGAAATGGCCGGCAATGGCCTCCGGTATGTGGGTGACGTTGTGCAGCATGTGGGCGGGTGTGCCCTGCAGATAGTTGCGCCACTTGTTGTAGGAGTCGCCGCCAGCCGCACCGCGTCGCTGGCTGATGGGCGACGAGGTCTTTGGCATGATGCGCTGGGCCTGCTGCATCATGTACATCTCCCACTCGAGATTGCTGACCATCGGCGCGGACTCAGTGGAGTCTCTGGACTCATTCGATTCGCTTGACTCTGCGGAGCCCGTGGAGCTGTTGCCCATGTCCTGGGTGCGCATCAGCTGGTGCTGCTGCTGCTTTGTGGGTGTGGAGGCCGAGCTGCTGCATGTGTAGTAGCCGCAGGATCGCTCCAGTTCCAGCTCCAGCTCCAGCTCCCTGATCTCCTGCTGCTGCGGCTGCTCGGAGAAGTCATCGCAGATGGCCCTGCTCCGGCTCCAGATGCTCCGATGGCTGCTCCGCGTGTTGGTGGTGGTGGAGGTGCTGTTGCTGCTGCTGCTGCAGGAGCTGCTACCCATGCCGCTGCTGTTCCGACTGCTGTACAGACGCTTGCCACTGCCGCCGTTGCCTGCCGCCAAGTAGATGCTGCCCTCCAGCTCTGGCCTGGCTCTCAGCTCCTTGATTTTCATGCTGCTCGAACAACAACCCATGGTTTATGATTTCTCTACGACTGTGCGTTCTCTCTAGGTGGTTCTCTCGCTGGAGAAGTTCGTGGTCAACTGTTTGGCTTGGCCTGGAGGCAGCTGCCTCTTATATAGGCAGCAGGGACAGGGCCTATCTCCGAGCAGGTAGCTTTCTCCGAGTGTTGCGAATTTCCTGGAATCCACCACTGGCCAGAGGTCTCTCCCTCTCTCTATCTCCGCTGATAACCTACCTGATTAGCCCGGCCTAATCCCCGCGACAGGGCGAAGGGGATTTCATGAGGAATCACGACAAATGTTTTATTGCCCGGCAATTTGGTCAAAACAACATTTTGATCTCCTCTCTCGTTCTACGGGGCCTACCTGATCGCCCGTCCGTACCAATGTCCGTCAAGGTCCTTGATTCGAGCACTTTCGATATGGCCAACGAGTTAAGGATCTATCTCCCTGCCATTGCAACCATCAGCCATCCATAAACACTGTACTCTCTCCCTCACTCAACCCTTTAACTCGATGCGAATGATACGCGAACGAGTGCTGCCCTCCGGTTCCAAACTTTCCTATAGACCGGGCCGGGCCAACGCATCCCGCGCATCGTCGCGCAGTTGTCCTTGTCGCTTGTCGCTTCGTTGTAGCTGCGTCGCGACCTTGGCCCATTGTGCTCTCCTCTGCGGAGGCCGCCGCTTTCCCTCTGTCACTGTCTATGGCTCTGCGGCAATTGTTGTGCAAACGCCGTGGCGCAGACCCCGGAACGCCGTTGACGCCGGCCACAAGTGCACCGATCGCCCGATCGAATCAAACACCAGACCGAGCCAGAGCCCAGCTGTCCGCACCGACCGATCGGCATCCGATCCATTGTTCCGCTCTCCGTTCTCCGTTCTCCTTTCGCTTGAATTCCATCAATGGAGGTTCGGTACGCTCCTGCTGCGGCTCCTGCTGCTGCATTCATTCTGGACTAGGACGAGGTCCCGGTCCAAGGCCAAAACCGAAACCGAAACCGAAATCAACATTGAAATGCCAATGAAAGTGAATGCCGTTTCAAATCACCAAATCATGGGCTCTCGCTTTGTGCTCAATGAAAGTTGGCGAATGGTCTTCGCAATGATGTTTGATATTCAAGAGAAGAATCAGAAGAGAATACTCCTAGAACTGCGCTGGTCTCTCTGAACCACTTGTGATTTCCCTTCACAAACCTCTTTTACTTATTTAATTAGATGTTGAGACACATTTATCCTGTGGCATCAACCGACACTTCGACTCGAGACGCACAAGAAAATTCTGGAAAAGGGAACGGTTTAGAAACCACATACATGTCGCGTGCATGACGCAGCTCATTGATGATTGATTCTAGGTTGGACTGCTTCCAAATTGTCTAATTTTTAACACATTTATTGTATGATTAGCAGGATCTATCGTTGAAAGCCACATACACGTCGTGTGCATGACGCAGCTCATTGCTGATTGATTCTAGTGGTTTTTTGTGGTTGGACTGCTTCCAAATTTTCCAATTCTTAACACATTTCGTTTATGATTAGCAGGATCAAGTGGGTTTTTTTTTTTGTTTGAAACGATCTCTCAAGGATCCCCTATCCACAAAGCAGCTGATAATCGTCCCAGCTTGGGGGTCTCGTGTGCCAGAGGTGCCAGAGGTTAGCCCCTTCTTTGTTTTGTACTAACCTCAAGCCTGACCTCGGCGGCAACATTTGGTGTTCCTGCCTTTTGCCTTGTGTGGGTGTGGGTGTGGGTGTGGGCCGCGCCTCTTGTTGCATTTTCACACGCAATCGTGAAAATTCCCGCATATTTGGCTTGGGAAAACGAGCGGGCGGAGTTTCCTTTCCGTTCCGGACTTTCCTCCTCGATCTCCCTCTGCCACTCTCTGTGCTGTGTGTTTGCTTGCTTATCCGATGTTGATCCTAAGTCCTGCATCTAAATCTGCATCCGTATTCCTCTGGAGTGGGAGCGGCAGTCGGAGTCGGAGTCGGAGTCACGTAACCCCGGCATTCCGAGCCGCTGCCAGTCGCATTTGGCTGCACGTGATTGGAATTGATTTCGCAATGAGCTGCCATCCCACAGCAGAAGCAAAAGCGGACACGGAAAGGGAAGCAGACGACCCTGAGAGCCGGAAAAGTGTAACGAAATCTGTGCAGGAGTTGCAGTCCACCTGAGAAGCCCCCAGGTCTTCAATGTCGATTGGTCCTCGCAAATTTTTTGCATTTCGAAAAGTCTCTCCATGCTCCAGCCGGTGGACGAATTATCTGTGCCTGGATGAGCCCCAAAGGATGTGCAGCGGAGAGCCAAACAAAAATTGCAAAATCAAAGCCAAGGGATGGCTGGCCAGTGGTGCTTCCTGTACACTTGGTTCGATGCACAGAAAGCTGTCAATTAAGTTGGCTCAAAGGATGAGATTCCGCACGAGACCCCCAAGCAAATGGCCACGAAATTGAAACGCCATTGACACAGCAGGAAGGACACTGCCGGGAGTACAAAGAGCACTCCACTCCACTCTGCGCCCTCAGAGGACGTGCCTGGGACCCTAAAGTTAGTTGCAATGAAACCGAAACCGAAACGGAAACAGAAACCGAAACCGGAGCTGAGTACAACTTTTGGCACAAGTGCAGGCGAAGCAATTGTCTGGGATACTTTTGTATTGAACCAACTTGAGGCAGAGCCTGGACCAGGGCCACCTGGCCGAGAAGAGAGGGCCAGAGGGGCAGGACAATGGCAAACGGCAAGGACATCACTATTTCCAGGAGTCGCTGGCCGCAGACCATCTGTGATCAAGCATCAATGCAACTTCTCTTAAGGTTTTTGCATTTCTATTGCATTTTTTGTTTTCCGCAAAACAAAAAAACAAAAAAAAAAAAACTGAGCGAAAACAACAATTACGAGGACAGGGAGAGGAAGAGGGCGAGCCGGAGTGGTAGTGGGAGGAAATATTCAAAAATTCAATTTGAGGATTTTTGTTTACGAAACGCATTTTCCGTGTATCGATGGCGAGGACGTCCCACGACCAACTCCTTGCCTTGCCACGGAGCCATAAAGCCATAAAATATACCGCGTGCTCGCTGTTGGCATCGTCAGAGGATCGAACACAGGTAGCACACCATTCCATACCATGCCATACCATGCCATTCCCATCCCTCCGATGATGATGATTGAGACGAAGATCCAACACGCACTCGTCTCGTTTCGTCTCGTCTCGTCTGATTCGATTCGATGGTCATGGTCATCCATACCTTGGACGCACTTGTTGATCCATGGCCCGGGTCAAGTTGAATCTGGACATGGTAGGCCATGCCATGCGGTATTTCCGCATCCTGTGGGAAATTCACGCACAGACTGAGCGGCTAAACCGGGGGAAACACATGCCAATGGCCATGGTAGCATCGATCCAGTCCACACATGTCGCGATTTGGTCGTTAGGCGAGGCTACTTAGGCCCTAATTTCGACAATAACAACCTGATTCTATCCAGGAATCAGTGTCGCACAGCTGGATCCAAGTGACGTTCCGTCATGGGATTTGCCCGAACCAAGTCAGAACTGTCCAAATCGGGCAGGTGTGTGCGTTCATGCAATCGCGATAGATGATATTTAGGTACAGTCTCCCTCTCCCTCTCCCTCTATCAAGTACAGTTGTGCTTGCTCGAAATATATCAATTGATGTGGAAATTGCCATCTTATTCCCCTTCTGTATCCAGCGTCCAGTTCTCCCCCAAAGAGTTTTCATTTAAAGGAAAGTTCCCGTCGAAATTTCGAGTGGAAATTAAAGTGTCATTCCTCGAGCTGCTGCTGCTGGTGCTGCTGCTGCTGCTGGTGCTTTTCTCTGTGGCAAACAAACATCAATTAAGCATCCCTCCCTAACTCAATCCCCGGCCGGCACTTGGCTGTCCTCCGCTTTTTACGATGGCCACTTTACGTGCCCCATCTCCCCATCCCATGTCCTGGAAGCCTTTTTGGGCAAGCTTTAAAGTGGCTTTTTTTTGGGGAGGGCGGGTTGTGTGTGGCAGGAGTGTTCCTTTTAGTGTCCCTTAAAGCTCCCTATCTGTTTTTAGTTGACTGCCCTGCAGGGCTCTTGCTGTGGTCTATGGAACCATATTTCAAGCTATTTAATAAGAGATATGTATGAATGTATGAATCAGCGAGGTTTAAGCATCGGATTCTCTGGAATTTGCGATGTTTTTGAACTGTTTTTCGCAAACCGAAGCCTTTGGCAGAGGCCCGTGAGTAAGCGGCTTTTGTGACTGCCCCCCAGTCTCCTCCCCACCTGATTTAGGAGTCTTACGACAAACTTTCAACGTGACTGGCGCTGGGCCCGTCCCCCGCCCGCCCGCTTTGCCCCACCTGTAATCGAAGAAAATCAATAGAATTTCCTTACTTATAATTGTATTTGTGTTATGAGTGTGTTTGTGTGTCTGCCTCAGTGTTTGAGGCATGTGTGTGTGGGGGGCGGAAGGGGCAGGGGGAGTGGGCCCCCAGAGGACACGTGTCTGGCCGTGTGTTCTTATGAATTATTGAATGGCTTATGGAGTTTTTCCCCCCTTAATGTTTATTTACATTTGTAATCGGCATTTCAGCCTCCAGTTTCGAGAGAAAACTTTGCCGAGGGCGAAATAAACCCATAAATCCAGTCGATAGAGTGCTCTTTTTTTGCAAATCATCAGCGGAGAGTATCCTTCCTAATCAAATATGTGTCAAATATGTGTACAAAAGAAGGCCTGCCTGTTGAAATGATTTTGGGTACGCATTCGATACCCTCTGGAGTCAAGAACATACATACATCGAATAATTGCACATTTAATCATTTACATAGCACGAAATATTGTATATGCTGTTTATTGTTTATAAATGTTGTTGAAGGAAACGTTGGCGAAATGCGACAAGCCCAATACCTTTAGTATGAGGTATTTCTTCGATATGAACGTATACCCGCTCATTGCCACTTGGGAGATGCTGAAGATACTCAAGATCAGGAGGCCCACGATGAGGAGCAGCTCAAAGAAGCCTGGCTTCCGACTCGGCTCCTTCCCCATCTCCTCCAGAGTGGACTCCTTCTCAAGTGCAGACTCTCGCTGGGGTCTCACGCCAGTCGCACGGACAGTGGGGACCAGCCGGTGCCTGCGGAAAGGCGTCAACGATTTCTTTCTGGCAAGGACCGCCTTGATGCCAATGCCATGGCTTAGTTTGAAAACATCCAGCCTAAAGGCCAGGCCATCCAGCGATGACTTGCCGATGCACAGCCTGGGGCCATGCTTCTTCGGCAATCGCTTACGAAAATACATAATGGAAGCTAAAAGAGCAAAAACAAAACACACGTTTTAACAATATTTTTCACTAGGTATTATAATTTCTTACTGCTGCTGTTCGTACTGCTTCGATTGGAATATTCCTAGATCGGAGTGTGAGTGAATGATTCAAAAGAGCCCACTGGGATCGGGTTTGGCTGTACTATGGAATCAACACGGAGTACCTGACCTTATTTTAAAGATACAGATCTTACAGATATAGTACTTCCTTTGAAGCTTCCTGCACCTAGTCCCTGAATGGACATATGTCTGGCTCTTTAAAGTACCGAAGAGAGCCCACTGGGATCGGGTTTGGCTGTACTATGAAATCAACACAGAGTACCTTATCTTAAAGATATAGAACCTACTGATATAGTACTTCCCTTGGTACGTAAAGGTCTGACTCTTTCCTGAAACTAAGTAGTCCCTGAATGGACATATGTCTGGCTCTTCAAAGTACCGAAGAGAGCCCACTGGGATCGGGTTTGGCTGTATGAATGCTGTGGCTTAGCCTGAGAAATCAACACGGAGAACGTTATCTTAAAGATATAGAACCTACTGATATAGTACTTCCTTTGGTACGTATATGTCTGACTCTTTCCTGAAACTAAGTAGTCCCTGAAAGGACATATGTCTGGCTCTTTAAAGTACGGAAGAGAACCCACTGGGATCGGGTTTGGCTGTACTATGAAATCAACACGGAGTACCTGACCTTATTTTAAAGATACAGATCTTACAGATATAGTACTTCCTTTGAAGCTTCCTGCACCTAGTCCCTGAATGGACATATGTCTGGCTCTTTACTATACTATGGCTATACTATGAAATCAACACAGAGTACCTTATCTTACAGATATAGAACCAACTGATATAGTACTTCCTTTGGTACGTATAGGTCTGACTCTTTCCTGAAACTAAGTAGTCCCTGAATGGACATATGTTTGGCTCTTTAAAGTAAAGAAGAGTATTTTGACCACAAATTCCTTCGAAGGACAGCAGCTAACCGCAGAAGGCCTCCCCAAGGATACATATATGATAAGTAGTGGGGCGGACAGTTGTCGTAGGAACCCCCCCCCCCCCCTATTAGGGATATCCCTCGCCTATCGCCAACCAATTGAGTGTGACAAATTGCGTAAAATGTGTGCGTCCGTTAATTGCTCTGTGAGTTTGCTGCCATTTGGGCCGCTCTTTGTCTGCGTTTGGCTACTGATTGTAGAAATTGCATTCGATGGCTGGCTGGCTGCTTCTGTGGGTTGTTTGTTTGCCTCTAATGAGCATTTAATGGCAATCAGATATGGGGTTTACCTGCAGCAATGATGATTCCCTTCCGGTTTGCATTTTACCCTTTGTCCTGGCTCTCCTATTCTCTCATCCCTCTCGCCCTCGGTGTGTCTTCTAATTTCCTTTTTATTACACTTTTACCATTTCTCTGTTTCTCTGTTGCATTTTTTTTTGTTGTCTTGTTGCTGCGGCACTTCATTCATAATTTACGGGGAATTTCGCCGGAGTTTGGATTTTTTGTTTCTTTTGCTTGGGTCTTGTCCCTGTCCTTGTCTGGAATTCCCTCGCCGGCGGGCAGGGCAGGGGAATTGCGCATAATTCGGGCATCATAGGCTTGTTAATTGGTTCGTTGCGGGCATAGATTTGCCCTAACACATGCCCCAATTAACCAAATTAGGCAAATAAAGCAGCAGCCGCAGTAAATAGTGTGCCAGGGGGTGTCTCTTAAACTCTGCAAGGGGGTAGGTCGTTGGGGGGGGTGCTGGGTGTTTGACAGTGCTAAATGGTAACGCTTTGAAGGTCATTCGCCTGGCTGCCTTAATGGCCAATTCTCTTTCATGTGCCCTCCCCCTCGCCCCCTCTGGCCAGCTCCATTTGGTGTCTGTGTTAGGGGTTTATTTGGAGATAATTTGTCTGTTCTGTGTGTGTGTGTGTGTGTGGGTCTCACCTGTGTGAGGGGGTGGGTCGCACTGCGGCTTGTGTCCTCCCATATTCGAGTGGGCTTTGGCTTGGTTGCGCCCTTCTACGGAAAACTTGTAATGCATTAAATAACTACGAAAAGTTTTGGTCCTTGATGCGTTAACTTCTTGAAAGTCAGCCCACCCCCCTGCATATGTTTTCTGTGCGAGAAGTGCATTCGAAGCACTTAAGTAAAACTTCTAAGCTGCCACTCAGGGCCCCAGCCCAGAGGAAGCCCTGAGGAAATACTACACTGAATACTCGTACGAGGGATAAGCCAGTTATATGATGCTTGGAGTGCTCTAAGATTGCACAAGAGATGGCGGGGCATGGTCAGCAGTTTCAAGTGACACAACTTGAAATAACACTCGTATACGTATCCACCACTTGGCCATCAAATCAGTCTGTTGTCAGAGCGTGTTTATGGCTATTTCACAGTTGGATTTGCATTCTACATACTCGAACATCTGGCAGCGTATTCCCGAGAGTGACACATCCCACCCAAAGCCACAGGCCACAGGCCACCGGCCACAAGCCACCCACCCATACATATCCATAGTATATCCTGTTGCCAAGTCAACAGTTTTCGCAAAACCCAAGTCTGAAGTTTGTTCTTCGTCGATTGCAGCTGTCAGGCTGGCGGCCTGCGCCGAGGAGGTCACCACTTCAGGCAGCCTCTCGGAAGGTGAGTTCCCATCCGAGTTCCACTTGGACGATAATCAAACCTTCATCCACGCAGAATGGGGCTCCGGCTGGCGGGGCACCAATTTCCTGGTCGAAGTGGAACAGACGGCAGCCTCCCTTCCGTCGGGCACAGTGTCGGGAGGAGGAGCCAGCGCCAGCGGCAGTGGCAGCGGCAGCGGCAGCGGCAGCAGTTCCGGCAACGTTGAGGACTACCTGGGCAGCCAGGAAGAGGATGGCGGATTCACAACCGGCACCACACCGGGAGCCTCCAACGGCACCACCGTGGAGACGGGTAAGTCCACCACCAAATCTTATTCTATTCCGAGAGATATATTCCATTCCCCCTGGGACGCCTATAAGTAGAGGGTCTCTCGGTAACGATAGAAAGTGGAACGAGCATCCTAGTACGGGGATTTCCCATAGATTGATTTCCCTCTTGACATCAAAGACTTTTCCACACACTGTTCCACACCTGGACGAAGCCGTAAAGAAAATCCCCCTTGTCGGGTTTGGCCTTTCGCGGGGAGGGGATTTACTGTGAGTGCTTAAAGTCGCCGCCGATTCCAGTCCGCAATCCGTTGCTTATCGGAGAGATTTCGCTGCAAGGATAATTGAATTTCGAGCCTGACTCTTGAGTTGTTTATGCAATGTACGTGCGACCATAAATACTACAAACAAATAAATACGAAAGTCGACAGGAGACAGGAGTCGGCAGACGGGAGACAGGGAGACAGGGACACACGGGACAGCGTGGAAAACATAGATGGGGGGAAATTGTGCACCCACTTGTAAAAGAATTTTCTTACCTTTTGATATGTCGGATCAATACTATGTACATATATTCCTCTCGAATCCAGGACCCAAGATCATTGTGCGCACCGAGGAAGTACTGATTGTGGGCCTCGTGCTGGTCCTTTGGGTGGGGGCCATCATGCTGTTTTTCAATCGCTGGGGCAAAATCCGAATGCTGGAGCCGTACCAGCCCAAGTTCCAGCAGCAGCACCGCAGCTCCTGTCCTCTGGTCGATCTGGATGCAGTGCAGACGCATCAGGTGAGCATATCCCATATCCCATAGCCCATATGTACATATGTAAATCCGAGTATATTCTCTTTCTCGTTACTCTTTACTCTCTTTACCAGCGCACATCCGTCTCGCGTATGTCGATGGGCATGGTGCATAATCTGAATATGCCGACGTGTCAATTTGCGGCCTATAATCCCAACATGTATGCCAAGGGTATGTACCATGCCAACATCATCTGCTTCCTGTCTTCCTGGTCTCGTCCCTGTGCCCTCTCGTTATTTCCTTGCTGTTTTTAAACCCTGCCTGAGTGCCGAATGCAATTAAAATCGAACAACACATCCATCGAGTATAGTATCCTCCTCGAATTCTCTGAGTGGACCGCCAGAGGCCCAACGGCACAGTGGGACAAAAGCCATAGGGATAGGGAAATCGATTCCCAGAGAGAGCCAATGCTACATTGAGGAATATTTATTTATCGGAGGACTTTAGAAGATATAGGACCTTAGAGTTATATTCATGGGACAGCACTTGTGTTTTCAGAAGCGTGATATAGTTCGTCCCTTTGTAAATTATTCGGAATGAAATGGAACCGATGGATATGCCGCGTCATGCACACGACTCGTGCACATGTATGTTGTTCTCGTATTGTGCGTGTCGAGTGGAGTATCCAAGAAATGTATCTGGTTTCTGATACACTTTCGCTGTCCGTTTGCGAAAGATACGCCTAAATCTTCTGTAATATGCTCGAGATCCTCTTCAAAAGTCAGTTGTTCAGAGAATTCGCTGTTCAGAAGCAGCACCCATTAGGCACACACTTGATGCCCTGGCGCTCAGGCAAGTCATTGCAGAAGAGCAGATTACAAATTTACTGTAAATCGGAATACTTATGCGTAATGCCCGCTGTAGTGTTAGCGTTTGTTAATGCCAACAGACGCCCCACACATCCCGCGTCCCGCGTCCCGCTTCCTGGTGCTGGTGCTGGCTTTTTTAATGAGTTGCCAGACAATTAAGTTGCCCGCTGAGCGGAGGCAGCAAATACAATTTTAATGCCACTGCTCTGATGCTCAGATGCTCAGATGCTCTCGGGCTCTGCCCTCCATCTCGGATGCTGCGCAATTAAATCCCATGGAAACGCATGGAAGACACGAACAGGAAGACCAGGGCAAGGGAGTATGGGGAATGCGGGGAAGAACACACATAAAACATGCAAAGGAGCATGATAAAAATGATGTGGGGATGTGGCACCCCCCACCCGGAAAGAAGTCTATTAAGTTGGTGGAGCTTGAGCTTGAGCTTGAGCTTGAGGGGCTTCCCCAATCTCAGAGTGCCCCAAAGAGCAGGGCACGTGACTCGAACGTGAGTCACGCAAAGGCCACTCCCACTCATGCCACTCAAATGAGGCCTACACAAATTTGGTGCAGACTTGATCCCATTCAAAGGGTTTTTGGGAATATTTCAGCTAGATATATGTCCATAAGATACGTTTGATTTGCAAATTACGGATTACTCTCGGCGGAGAAGAATTATCGTGTCACGTGCCCCTCCCTGTGGCAGCGTTGACATTCACGCTCGCTTGATTGTTATGGGGGCCAGGGCCGCCCCCTTTTAACCATTTTCAGGAACATCCCACAAAGTTGCCGCCCTCAATGGAGATTGTGTCTAACCATTTTCCCGTTTCAGGCTACGTCTCGCATGTGTCGAACGCGTCACGGCCTCGCCAGAACTCCGTGTTCGTGGGTGCCAGCACCAGTCACTACCTGATGCCGCGGGCTCCCCGCAAGACGCGCTCGGCCATGGATCTGCACTCCATGGTGCTGGACGAGAGTGCCGAACAGGTGTAGGTGTCCCTGGCCCAGGATGCAGCAGCAGCAGGAGCAGGAGCAGGAGCAGCATCTGTATGTGTACGTGTGCAAGTGCTAAGAGGAGGGGACAAAGTGTTTTATTTGTTTTAGAAGTGAAAGAAACGCTGCCCAATGCTTTCAACCATTTACACTTAATGCCTATCTCTATTCCCCCCCAGCGTCTGTCTGTCTGTCTGTCTGTCTGTCAATGTTTGTGGGAAGGATAAGTGCTTAATCCTTTCATCGGTTCATCTGTGCCGGCACAGAATCCATTCACGTCAATTTTAGTTAAAACTGACTTCTGTGACCCAGAAATGACCCAGCAAGAAGAAGTACCATCTATAGTAGAGCACTCGTATTATTAGCTTTATCCAGTGTTAATCTCGAACGTAGTCTATGCTAATCCCCCGTTTCTCTTCTACTTCTACGTCTACTTCTATAACTTAGCGTGTTTTACTCGTACTCGTACTCGTACCGAACTTCTGCCACATGTATTGGATACCAGAATAGATACAACATATACTTAGTGAAATACGAATGAAAATATTTCATATACATATACAATATTGTGTCGTTAACATCTTGAAAAACTGTTTAGTTTGTAAGCGTAAAGCTCAAAATGGATCAGAAAACTCTCTAAAACCTGGACCAGAACCTGGAACAACTTAACTTTCCGATCATTTGGTTTTTTTTTTTTGGCTGCCGCAGAACACTTACTCGAATGATCAAAACTAACTTTACTAACTGTCTACACTACTCGTAAGTTGTAAGTATTTGAAGACCAAGAGCAGATTGAAGCTGCACGTAGAAAGGAGAGATATGATAAAGTTGGGCAGAAGAAAAACTAACTAACGAAAGCTTTAAATTCCTTTGGGACCTCTACCGGAACGGGGCCGGGGTCTACCAGAAACCAAAAAACCCATCCAGAAAAAACCGAATATTGTATTCTAAGTTTAAGGTAAATAACTCTCAACCAAATGTCTAGTGCAAAATATGTGGAACAATGTAAACTAAACTAAAACTAAACTAAAGCCTATCCGAAAACCAAACTCAAACTCGAACTAATGAACCACAAAAACCGACACAGATACAGAACAGTTTTGAAGGGATACCACTAAAGTATTCCCCGAAAAAATGGTCCAACTTGTTTACAATATTTACAAGAGCCTCAACAAATAACGTTATATACACATGTGTACTATATCAAATGCTAAATCTATATATATACATACAATAAATAATTATATACGTATACATATATAGAGTGGAAAAAGCCACAAACAAAACCAAAAAATCCCAAAAAAAAAATACAATTATATACAATACATTTTGAAAAATTCAATTAAAACAATTATATTTGAAGCGATGAGTGGTTTTGCTCTTTTCTTTTTGAGCGGCGGGACTGCACTCGTTAGTTCTTTCTCAGATTACGAGTAGTCGTGATTGAGTATTCGTTACTCTTTAATCGTTATTATTTATTCGTTATTCTTTATGATACTTCAAGTTTATGGTTGAGAAATTGGCCTAAAGTGGAGAGTAATCTTTTAAATCGTTTTAAGATTCCAATTGGCAACTTTTATATGTATGTAGCTGCACGCTCTGACAGCCCTCGGGATCTAATAGATGTTTTTACTGGTTAACGGACCGGCTGGTACTTGACTGGGAGGGCATAAAAATCTTTCAATTGATGTGTTTGTGTGTAAATGTGTAATAAAATATATGCAGCCATTTGGTTTCGATTCTTAATAAATCCAATTGGAGCGGCTACACCCCATGCTGGGGCACATTAACGAGCCGCATTTCTCTGGATGTTCTCCGGACGCTGAAGCAAGGGATCCATAAACATTTTTGAAAAAATGGCGAGAAAACGACGCGTAAATTGCTGACAAAGGAGAAGAGTGAAGAGGTCAATAAATGAAGTACATTCGATGTTCCGTCCGGGCATCGGCCGGGTTCAAGTGCAGGGAATTTATGACATTGCAACAGTAGTACTGGCGCTTATGGCAGGGCCAGAGCCTGACCTTGTCGATGTTGCCGGGGGCCACAAATCAAACGAAGGTCGTGACGACGCCCAACCGCCATGGCCCCATGCTCCATCCTCCATCCTCCCCATTCTGCTGACACTTGCAACTTGAGGTGGCAGTGGCAGTGGCAGCCAAGTGTTTCTGCGACAAGCTGGAGGCGGGCGAAAGACGCACATCTCTCTGTTGGCAGACATGACTTCCTCTGGCTATGCGAGTACTTATATATCTCCGGAACTGTCCAATCATTGAATGAAATTAAGCCAGTTTTCCATGGAAAATCCCCCCTCTGTTCAGTGGAGTTTCTGGCTGCTTCCTCCAGTGCTCTTGCCAGCAATTTTGAACATTCTCCCAGGGCTTTATCATACGAATTTGTCCCAACAAAATGCTGAACAATAAGCCAAGCAATATGCATAGCTATGTAAATTAATTTTAGACCCAGGCACAGGATCCAGCCTGTAGTATATGGCCGCCATGCCATTCAAATCTCTGCACAATGCCACAAATTGTGAGGAGGCACACACACGCATGTAATGGGCCAAACCCCAACCCCCTCCGGTTCATGGAGGTTGTCAAAGATTGATTGACATGACAGCCTGGACTGCCGGCGTGGAATCTCCATGAAAATGGGGGACGGGACCGGGTCCGGGACCCCCTTCCGCCACTTGAGTGTCTAATCAAAAATGCTTAGTATTATGTTTTTCGGGGCGCAGGATGGGGCCAACGATTTATGGACGCGTGGGTCAGGGGCAGAACTTAATTGCCTTCTCACATTCTGTGCTGTGGCAAATGGACGGAGCCCATTGGAGTGGAGTCAATCACAAAGATATAGTCTCGGTTTTTCTCAGATTTTCAATTTACTTTTTGACACTCTCTACCAGTCGCTCTCTCCGTCTCTCCGTGTCTCCGTCTTAGCGTTATCTTTGATTTGTCCACCGAGAGACATTCAAATGAAAATTTTGCTTAGTTTCAACACAGACGAGGCCCCCCACCCGCACGTACACACAAGCTGCACGAAGAACAAACGCCGGAAGCCTTCAGTCTTACTCCATCGTACGGTCCTGTTCAAACGGCTCCTCCTCCCCCTCCGCCTTCTCTGGACTGCTCCCATGACAAAAAGATATGCTTGATTTGAGGTCCGACGGCTTTAATACCCTGCCAGGTCCTTTGCATGCAGCTAGTTTTGATTTCTACTATATATTTTGTATATATATAAAATACTTGGGTGGTAGGGCCCACGTTTCCCTGAGGCGCACATTGTGGTTTTTTTTAATCTGATCAAAATCATAATGCCCTCTGCCAGGGTATTCGAAGTAACTGCGCACTTACAATGCCTTTTCCCCCTCGCGTACGACCCTGAACTGCTGTGGCCACATCAAATGTTCAGTGCACCACTGCCCCATTTCTCCCCATGCCTTCCCGCCTCGCTCTCCCTCTGGCTGAGCCCACATGAGCGATCACTTTAATAGCTGCAGCTTTATTTTTAACGTATCTTATTACTACTGCGAGAATTTCCCGTTGCCGGACATAATCATACTCCTGTTCGGATGTGTAAATCGGAATTTTTTAATGGCCAACAAGAAATTTTCTTTTTGAGATTTGCGCAGAGAATATAAATGGAATGTCCAGCTGATGGATGGGAGTCCATTCCGGTGGCTCTTTCGCCGCTTTCCAGTCGGACTGCATGAGTGATGGACTGGCATGGAGAGCGAGGGGAAAACGAGCATGTGTGCATATATTTCAAGTGCAAAGAAACATGATATTTGATTACCAAAACAGGAGAGCTTCTGTCCAGCTCCCGCACAGAATGGCTAAACATGGCTGCTTCCGGGCCAGGCAGTGCAGTAAATCGTCTACAATAGCATGGAAGCAAACCAGGAACTGGGATGCTGAACACCCCTTCCGTACACCCAACAAACATTTTCAACGGTCGTTAGACGTTAGACAGCGCCTGTCGGCTAATTATGCTGTGACTGCTCATCGACTGACCTTGCTGACCAGCCACCCACCCTCCTGCCGCAGACAATGTGTGTCTTTTCTCACCATCTCCATCTTGGACGCGTTTATTTCTTAGACCCATGCTTGGGTCCTCCTGCCACTTGTGTCGTCCGTCGTGCGGTGACAAATGCAATAAAGACCCAAAAGGAGAAGCTTTTGTTGATGAAGTTGGCCCAGTGAACAGCGTAGAATGGGGAATGGGGAATGGAGAGAGCGTTTACTGTTGCCAGTTTGATTAATGACAGCGATTGCCGGCAAACGCTGACTGATGGCTGAGAGTGAGGTGGGGGGGATATGTAGCTTTGACAGTGACCCTGGCCACTCTCATGGTCAGGGCTGGGTGTTGGTAGTACTCAAAGGCAAACTAAGTTGTCTGGCAGCCAACTCATACCGCAGCCTCCCTCAGTTTTATGGGCCCTCCTCGGAGAGTCATTTTAAATCACAAAAATGAAACTGTAAGCGAAACTAAGAATCAATCAATGGCAGGAGTCTGGAGGGCGTACCATGACTGCATCGCCAGCAGCCGCCCCCCGGCTGTCATCAATGTTTACGAGCACCCATAATGACGAAACATTGCCGAGCGGCAAAGAGATGGCGATGGCATAATCAAAGGACACGCAGCCTCATCAAGTTTTCTCCATTCTTCTCTGCGCTTTTGTGGGCTGTGCGCCGGGCAGAACAATGCGTGAAAATAAAACGAGTGATAATGAGTGCGTGGCCGAGACGCTGACCCAAGCAGAGTCCCAGCCATTCATCCATCCCGCAAATGGTCATGGGCGGTGCCTCGGGGCTGGGGGTTGGGGGTTGGGGCGGGTAATGGGGCCATGTGCTGAGAGCAAATTGTCTAGAAACTCAAAAAGGCAACAAGCCGTTGAAGCCATAAAACGGACAGAAGCCCAAAAAGCAAGCAGAAAAAATATTCCCCCCAACTGTCAAAGACAGTCCCCCAACTGAAAGAACTCATAAAGATTGGCCAAAAAGGTTTATGTTGCATTTGCCACCCCCATAAGCCACGACCAGATGTGGCCAAAAGCAATAAAGCTCGTAGAAAATGTGCTGGGGTGCACTTGTCAGCTTGGTTATGGCCATCAAACGACAATCAACGATCTAATGCAATTGACGATAACGGCCAATACTTTTCACAGGATACGAGCTTATTTATTAAATCTGCGCATTCGTTTCAAATTTCGCGCGCATAAATGGAAATTTAAGCTGAAAATGTATACATGGTAACTACACGTCCGCTACACAACAACTACATATTTATGTAAATACCAACAGAGACACCTGCCGAGGAAACCAGTCAAGGAAAAAGCTCTACATCGAAAAGCCAGAGCGGAAAAAAAGTTCACAGAAGCTAAAATATATAAAATACTGAAAAACTTAAATCATTTTTGCAAAGCGACGACGTTAAATTAATTAATTCATTTTACTTTACTAGTTTCGTTGACTGAGTACCGGGTATAAATGCAGAGTCTCGTTTTAATCAAAGGTTTGTTGATATTATGTAGTTGTTTGGCGCGTTGCAGCATTAGGTTCAGAGTTGCCTAGTAAGAGTTGAGACAAGTAAAGTAAGTGCCAGCGGCACCTGACGGCAAGCTCGGTCAAATTGGCCAATTTATTCTGTGGCATACTTTCAGGGTAGCCGATCGTGCGCCAGAGTGACCGTACAAGTCGGCAAAGAAACACGACAAATTTTAGTCTGCCGTGTTGTGGTGTTTATGGTTTACTTCAGATCAGGTTATTTCCATTTCGGACTCAAAAAAGATCGGACGTCGGCCTGCTGTCGGCTTCTAGCGGTTGCTTTGACTTTGTGTTCACTGGCGCTGTGGCAACATTATTTTTGTCGTCATATCTCACGTCTTGAGGGTGTGCTGTGCGCGCGTGTTTGTGTTTTCTTCTTGTGGTTTTGTTTGCGTTTGTGCACTTGAATCACTTGTTGATAGTGAAGATATTTTGTCTGTTTGTTTGGGTGTTTTGGATTCGCAGAACGACAAACTGTTTGAGCCGTCACTCCGAACATCGAGGATCGGCTATCGGCTATCGGCCATCGACCAACGTCAAACAACAATTAACCATTGGCATCGTTTTATCAGCGATTATTGGGGCTGTGCGGCAAACCTGAATCCCCATCAGCTGAAAGTTTGTTGGTGTTTTTTGTTCGAGTGAAAGCGTGTGAAAAGTAGCCCCCCAACATTGGCCAAC